TTTATTTACGATTTGTTATTTTTTTAATTATTATTTTGAAAAGAGCTCTTCCTTTTAGAATGCATATAAAATAAAACTTAAATTATTTAAGCTAAAACACTCGACAATAAGAAAGTACTTCAAGAAGCTGACCTCAAAGAGCTTAAAACATAAAGCTGATTATGAATACAAAAACAAAGGAGCTTAAGTTGTTTTATATTTTACACAAAACAATTGATGCTGTATGGAAATCATTTACCCTTTTATTAGCCAGAAAACATTTTTAGTCATACAGAAAAATAAGCAAAAGTAATAATAATAATGAATAGCAAATTATAAAAATGCAAAAATCACTCACTTTAATCTCTATAAACAAAACGAAATCCCTTTTCATATTTTCACGTTATCAGCGCTTAAAGAGTCAAGCAAGAAGCATTTAAAAAATTAAAATCCAACAACAAATAAATCAATAAAACAATCACAGAAATTGCAATGCAAGATGATAAGCGATTTATTTGCCACAGAATTTCATGTCAATTAAAATATATTTCAGTGCGCGAAAGCAAATGGACAAATGAATAAAAAGTCAGTGCAACCGCCGAGATAAATATTGAAAGATGAATGTCAATTGATAAATACAATTTACGTTGACTTTTCCAGCAGTCAACAAAAATTCCGACAGCTGAAAATTGTGGGAAAATTCACGCCACAAAATTCAATTTGCCAACAATTTGCCATTCAAATGGGAGCAAGTCGCAAAAACAAGTTAAACAAAATATCTGTGAATAGTTGGACAAACTGTAATGAAACAAATGTTAAAACAGGATTGATTAAAACTTTAGAAATGCAAAATGGGGAATTTGTAGTCCAATTTGTTGATTAACTATTTAAATAGAGTTTGAAAATACATTTATACACAAAATTATCACATTTTTTGTTTGTGTATTTTATATATATTTTTATACCCTGAACCCATTTTCAATGGGAAATCAGGGTATAATGGTTTTGTTGAAATGTATGTAACAGGGAGAAGGAGGCGTGGCAGACCCCACAAAGTATATATATTCTTGATCAGGGTGACGAGCTGAGTTGATTTGGCCCTGTCCGTCTGTCTGTCCGTCTGTCCGTCTGTCCGTCTGTCCGTCTGTCCGT